ATATTTTATCCAAAATATATTCGGGCAATGAAGCTCGAATTCTGACAAATGCCATGGTCCAAATTTCTGGGTAATTTCGGGTGTTCTCGGACCTATCGCTACATTTCGTTGAAAGATCTCTGGGCAGGATCTGCACATTCAAAAGCACTGGGGTCGCGCATATTAAAGAAAATTAAAAAAAAAACAATTAAAATTTAATATCTCTCAGAAAGCGCCATACCCGCTTTTACTGCTTTCATTTTCCATTTCAGCTTGAGCACCACTGCCGATTTCAACGTCATCACCACCATCAACATCTTCCGGCGCTCTACTATCCATTCCTCCCGTATCCCCTTTCACAGGTTGATCATCGCCGGTTAAGTCTTCCACAGTTTCGTCATTTTTATCGATATCTTCTACGTTATCCTGAAAAAAAATTAACGAAGCTTTTTTTATTCTCGCCACCCAGGCGATGCAATTATGTTGCTGAGGTACAGCAATAAAGCAGAATAAATAGACATTATTAATCTAAAAATTCAAGTAGTCATATCCGTTCCAACTAGCTTTTTTCAACCAAGCTGTCTTTCTCTACTTTGTACTTGACTTCTCCACCACTGTACCATTTATTCAAAGGCGCGCATCAGATACCACGCACCTCTGTGCAGAACAAGAAGGGAGAAGACTGCAATCCTGACCAACGATCTCTTCTCCATAAATTTTGCCGAAACTAATTTTCACACAATTTTTTTCGTTGAAAAAAACCGTGTCAAAGGCAGAAAACAAACAGGAGCAATCGGTTCAAGACGTGAGGAGATCTGGCACAGTGGTGCCCCCCAAAGCGGAAAGGAGGCTGCAAACCGACAGCCCTAAAAATACCAAGATGCTTTCTCTCCTCCTTTTTATTCAGTTTTAAGTAAAGAACCATCATAGAACAGCACTTGAAACGAAAGCCATGCTATTCTATATCTCATTGGCCTTCTTCCCCATTCAGTCAAGATAAATCAGATGCCTCACAGGCTTTTTTATCCATCTTCCATGCATATAAAACCGTGCTACTCTCTCCCCAAATCAAGCTGATCGCTAAGATCCTCATTCTGGGTGCCTTGTATATGCCAAAAATGTCACATTACTCCTGCCGAAATTAACGGCAAACTCAGATCCTCCAGGAATACAGAGATTAAAAATACCTCGTGATCCTGTTGATCCTCTGCATCTTGACTAGCATCAACTTCAGTCGCACTGCCACCAACACTTTCAACTTCATCATCGTTCTCGTGCAAGTTATTGTCCATTACCGCCTCCATACCCTCCTCCTCCCCCAAATTTTCTTCATCCTCATTACCACTGCCCTTCTCATTGTCAATTTCTGTAGTGCCTTCGTCATCTCCATTCAAATTTTCGCGCTCATCAACATTCTCCATATCAACATCACCATTAGCATTATCTTCTGTTGCTTTGTTCTCTTCGTTATTAGCCCCAGTAGCTTCTTCCTCCTTATTAGCAACCAGTTTGTCAGTGGCCTTGTTCGCGCCTGAAATTCCAGGAATATTTACAGCATAATATTTTGCAAATAATATTTTGCAACATACAGTAATTCGTGACTCTAAGCAATACAACATTAGAGCTGGATTGCTTTTATAGTAGTGAGGAAGCAAGGATAGCTGAGGCAAATGAGTTTGAAAGGAATGGTTGCATCAGGCGTAACATCGCAAACTTTATACAGTCTGAACGCTCCTCGATAAACCAAATCAGTGAAAATATGAAAAGTTGCTTGGGCGCATAAAATCTGGGACAACTTCATCAAAGATAACTGATTTATCATATGAAAGATCGGGGAAGTTATAAATGCATCAACACCTATATATATATATCAGGCAGTACCACTGGTTTTCAGTTAGCATAGCACGCTTGGAAACGTTTAATCAGAAGAAATCCCCTCGTAAAGGGCAGTGGGCATAAGCTCTCTGCCAAAAAATTCTTACAATTTTTTGGCATAAATTTCCTCAGAAGCAGAGCAATAAAAAAAAGCAACAAACAGCACATTATTTGAGAACCTGGACTACAAAAAAAACTTTGATTTTTTATAAAATCTGAACCACGAACTTTAATTTTTTAACTCCTTTTATGGGACAAGCTGTGATTCCTCGTATTTCTGGGCACTTTTAGTGAATGTTATAAAATTAATTCCACGCACACTAGACAACAATTCTGTGGAAGAATGAAGGAAAATCAATATGAACGAACTGAACGGCCAAACAGGCGACGTATGAAACGTAG